TCATATGACAGCTTTTAACAGGATAGTATTTTCCACTTTTCCAGTAGGTATATTTCAAGGCTTAGTTTGAACTTTGAAAAACACTTTGAGACATTTGCATGGAGCATGCTGCTATGTCTCAGTGGCAGTAGTCACTGTAATGGAGAAATGCCCTTACCGAAGTCAGGAAGCATCCTGGCATCTGTACACAGTGCTGTGCTGGGACACATAGACATATTCTGTGGATGTGTGAAGTAGGTCATATAAATATATTCCAAATATATAGGTCAATATAAACATATTCCAAATGACATATATGAAGTCTAAATATGTATATGAGGATAGTAATTTGAACATCCTTTGTGTACTTCCACTTCCTCTTAAGCTTTCATTAAGTTACTGAGAAGACAAATCTGTTTTTCTCTCAGCAATTCCTGTGCAAAAAAAGAGGTTCTGCCTTTATTTTCCTTAATGGCTTGACCAGCTCTCCTACCTTCTCTTCTCATTTGAGATCATCTTTACAGACATCTTTGCAAATCTCTCCAGAATATTTGGGTGATCAATAGCATTTGTTTTGAAGTGCCTGTCTGCGTACTTGATTCTCAATATATGAAATTAGAGATGGCCTCATAATTTAGATCTGTTCCAGCTGAGACAATTTTACACCACAGATAAATTTTGTCAACTCATTAGTCTGTTTTCTAGATCAGTAATAAATATTCATCTGCAACAATGACCCTCTTAGCACCCCACCCTTAACTCACACTATGTTGAAATGTGACCATTTAATCTTCATTTAATCCTGGAAAAGGACTCTATCAGTCACTCTGATTACTTAATTTTTACTTGATAGCCTCCTATCAGGGCTTTTGTGTGTCAATCAGTGTCAGATCATGATGTATGGTTGGAGAGGAGTGAGTGAAACTCTAAGAAGTTTGATGAAGCAAGGAGTTAAAGCCAATTAAACAATTTAGCTGCTTATTAATAACTTTGAAGGGTCGGTTTAGAAATTCTTAAACAATAGAGGCAACATTGTATTTGAAAGAAAGAAAATATAGGAAAGCTGTTTGACTCTGTGAATGTCACAGAAACTATGTCCAAAAAAACCTGGTTTAATAATATTGCCAGTTTCACGAAGAAAAATGTCTTGAGTGGGAAGCAAGTTACTGAGCCTCCGAGTCTGTCTTTCACCAGAATGAGTGGATGATAACGTTTCTGACTAAGTGTGAAATAACTGACTTCAGTGTTGAATTACCAGGTTCCAACCTGTCAGGCTTTCAATCAGGATTTACAGCCATAGATCCTCCTCCTGGTGAATGGTCCAAGGGAGAAGACAAATATAGCCTAAGCCCAATCTGGAACTCTCCAATGACAGATCCACGTCAGAGTTTTGGAACAACCTCTTGGTGCCAGTGGGTGCTGCTGCTGCTTCTTCTTCTTAGGAAAGAATCATGAAGTCTTCTATGCTAGAGGTACAAGTATGTTCATACAATAAATACAAGGACACAACTGTCCCTGGGCTCTGGGAAAATGCCAGCAAAATTAAGGAGGTTTATGCAGGATCATGGGATAATCTTGATTAGCAGAGCAGAGAATATTTTGCCACTTTTGTGCATCGGTCTTTTGTTTATGAGAAAAACTGATTTGGCTCTTTCTGATGTATAATATGACAGCATCACCTACTGTGTGCTTTCCTTGTTGTAAGTAATAAGAGAGTGTACAAAGATATGAAATGGTTGACTGAAATTAAATGTGAGCTATCAAACTGATGAGACTGGTTCTGTCAGAAGATGAGTGTCTTTTGTTTTGGATTGGTTTTTTTTGGTCTAAATAGCCATTCAAAATCTCAGTATGTTACTACATGGAACAAAAAGACTATACTACCTGCTCCCTCCACCTTCACCCCAAAAGGCTGGAAGAACTGTTTTCACTTCCCCAACCTATTTGGCCTTTTCATAAGCTCCATTAAGGATGTCTAGATCATTCCCTAGTTTGTAGAACTTTCTTTTCTTATGTTGAATACAGCATAATCTTGAAATAAATCTCTTTGTGTGGCTCTTGTGTCTGAAAATATTGCTGCAAGTGTCAGTCACAAAGTACCACATAGAGTTAAAATTCTTCTTTGTACTAGTTTGTCACATACTTTTGGAACTACTTTTTGGGCAATATTAAAAGTATTCTCTATATTGAATACAAAACCATTTAGAATCATTTAGGTTGGAAAGGATCTTTAAAATCGTCAAGTCCAACCATTAACCTAACACTAGCAAGCCTGCCACTAAGCCAGGTCCCTGAGCACCACAGCTACACATCTTTTAAATACTTCCAGGGATGGTGACTCAACCACTTCCCTGGGCAGCCTGTTCCAATGCTTGATAACCCCTTCAGTGAAGAAATTTTTCCTTTGTCTGAATCTAAACCTCCCTTAGTGCAAATGGAGGCCCTTTTCTCTTGCCCTATCGCTTGTTACTTGGGTGCAGAGACTGACACCCACCTCGCCACAACTTCCTTTCAGGTAGTTGGAGAGAGTACTAAGGGTCTCCCCTCAGCCCTGTTTTCTGGAGGCTAAACAACCCCAGTTCCCTCAGCCACTCCTCATAAGACTTGTGCTCTTGACCATTCACCAGCTTTGTTGCCCTTCTCTGGACCTGCTCCAGCACCTCAATATCTTTCTTGTGGTGCGGGGCCCAAAACTGAACACAGGATTCAAGGTGCGGCCTCAACAGTGCTGAGTACAGGAACACAATTGCTCCCCTAGTCCTGCTGGCCACACTGTTTCTGATACAAGCCAGGATGCTCTTGGCCTTCTTGGCCACCTGGGCACACTGCCGGCTCATATTCAGCCAGCTGTCGACCATGACCCGTAGGTCCTTTTCTGCTGGGCAGCTTTCTAGCCACTCTTCCCCAAGCCTCTAGCGTTGCATGGGGTTGTTGAGACTCAAGTGCAGGACCTGGCACTCAGCCTTGTTGAATCTCATACAATTGGCCTCAGCCCATTGATCCACCCTGTCCAGATCCCTCTGTAGAGGGATCCCTCAGGCAGGTCAACACTGTCACCCAACATGGTGTCATCTGCAGACTTACTGGGGGTGCACTCGATCTCCTTGTCCAGATTGTTGATAAAGATATTAAACAGAACTGAAATTTACTGCATATAAAGTAAATGTAACCAAGACTGGGTAAAAATTCTTGTCATATGTATAGAAAAACCCTTTTTCATATCTTTAATGCCTGGATGAACAATGGTGTCTGAACTGGCACTGAAAACAAAGACATGAATTTGGTAGATGTATGTTCTGAAAAGCAGGATAGCATGTGTATAAGAAACGGAACCAGCAGCCTGGAGTGAAAATGCTAATGCATAAATAAATAAGGGAACTGACTGTTAGAGTAATCAGAAAATATAATGTTCTAATTCTTGCTTTGCATAACTAACAGGCAATTAACTTTCATTGACTCATGATGTGAAAAGTGATCGAGAGACGTAGATCCTTTGCTTTGGTAACAGTCTGTCAGTTGGGAAGAATGTTTTTCTTGACAGTTGATTAGGGGTTAAATGAGCTGAATAAAATTGGTATTTTTTGCTGCTTTCCCCACTTAGTATAACAGCTATTATATGGAGCATTTTTCCTTACATTAGTTGTAATGACTGGCTTTAACTGATTAGCCCTGTTGGAAGAACTGTTTTTGTTTGACAAAGATGTCATTTTGGTGTTCTCAAGATCTGCAAAAAATGGCTGATCCATGAAGAACTTGGCTTAAAGTGTTTTATTTATTGACTTTGATAGATTTGGGTCTGCTCTTAAGCAAACTGCTCCTCTTAGGGATGTACGTGCTTGATCATGCAACAGCTTAGTTGGTGAAGAAGGGAGCAGCATCATCTCGAACTTCCATAATGTGGTACCTCTCTGTATCTATGGGGAGCCACATTGCACCACAAGAGTGTTACTTCAGCTCCTGCAGCCCAAGCAGGCATCACCTCACAGCAGATCTGTAAAGCCACAGACACAGACTCCATTTGCTCACAGTTTTGGAAAAGTAACTGCTCTCCAAGTCACCTGCTTCACCAGGAAATATTGTCCTACTCTCTCGTGCTGAGAGTGGCATCAGTCCACTTGGTGCTCACTGACTCTAGACAGCATAAAAAAAGAAATAGCTTGGAGAAAAGAGGGCACTTTCTGAGCTGTGGGAATAGGCAAAAGGGTCAACCCTGAAAAGCTCTAACTCTTAGTAAGGCCTTGTGTTAAACAGCTGTGGTTAACTGGTGCATATCAGTAATTACTGCAGTGTGGTTCCTGAAAGGAATGGGCATATTTCTTTTCAGACTGGGGAAAAAGCAAGGGCGAGGGGTACATAAAAGAAGCGTGGCTACAAGTTTGGTGTTTCTAGGGGGTCTTTTTGTTGTGATTTTTTTTTTTTTTTGGGGAGGGGGGGGGGGCGCGGTTGAGCTATTTCTCCTCATAGGCTCAGGTACTTAATCCACTCATTTGTGAATTCACTTCCACCCACACCTTCACCCTCCCCCACCCTATACACTTTAAGCTCTTATTTAATGATCTTTAGTCTACAAGAGGCTTGACTTTATGGCCAGCTTAGAAGTAGCTCTTGAATGTAGGTTACAATATACCATCTCACCCCAAATGAAAACTTCAACCATGGCTCTAACACACTTGGCTTGAACAGTACTGATATGTAGGTAACTACTAGGAGTTTCTGTCGTGGTATAGAAACTAGTCCATGTTTTGATAAAGAATTATGTTTTTTGGAGGTAAATTATCAGATTCCTTGGGAAAACAGGGTAACAGTCCTTCATCTGCAATAGAGGTGGAGAATTAATCTACTGGAGCAGTGCTGGCTATGACCATCTTACTGTGGGCCACACTGATGAGAACAGCTTTTCACAGCCCCTTGAAAAGTGCCATTCTATTACACTTGCAATACTTCAAAGTTTATGATTGTGCTAAGGTCCTAGTCTGAAATGTCCTTCCAAAATTATAGATGAAAAGAGAAACACTGGAACATCAACAGGAAATAAAACATTTTTATTGAATATCTGTGTAATATGTATGTTATTTTAACGACAATTGGAAAACTCTACTGTGGGAAGTCACTACACAAAGTGAAACAAAATATAAACCACCTCATCAAAAATGAAGGTAAAATACGGCTAAAGTTGTCAGCTCGCGGGCCACGAGCGATATGGCAGGATAAAACACCCCAAACATTTCTACAAGATACAGAGAAAACCCACACAGAGAAACACTCAAGCAGGCAGTAAATATACACAAAGGCAACTAGGATCTTTCTACAGCATCAGATTCTAATACTTCACACAGCTTTGTCAGAAAGGTACATGTGGCTTCTTTGAGGATGAAAATGTCATCTTGGTCACATGGCAGGTTCAGTCTCTGAGAATCATCGTACCTTACAAACCAGTTCTATGGTGACGTTCTGTCTGGCAGTGTAGGAAGAGAAAGCATTAAGAATACCTTAACACAATGAGTCAGTCCTGGCGGTTTGAACCTGCAGCTATCCTGAATGAACAACTGAAAGTTGGAGACCATGAAGCTCTTATGCTGGAAAGCTGACTGTCTACTTCTTCTCTTTGGTGGGGTTTGGTCCTGAAGGTTAAGATTTTAAAGTATTCCAGCTTGATGCTTTGCATGTATGTGCCTGTTTCTATCAGAAAATGTCTCACTTGTGTTTTTTCCGTGTTTCATGTAAAAAAGAAAGAAAATGGGTCTTGCTACTCTCACTTTTGGAGGTGGGGAGAGATCCAGACTTTTATTCTCCTCCCACTTCTTTGCTGCTTCATTTAACCCCAACGTACTGAAAACGCTGGTACTTGGCCATCCCTGCACTGACCTCTTAGACTGTCACACCTCTCCCAGAAGCAGAGCCTTGAGGGAGGCTGCGGAATTTAGTTTTCAGTGCACAGTTCTCTGATTCTATTCATCTTTGTACTTTGTTTTCACTAATTTCAGTTAGATACAACTAATAAGAACAGTAATGGTTAATTCTCATGCCTCCCTCCAAAAGGTATAGCATTTCCACATTTCTGGGGTAGTTTGCATTGCTGAAAATAATGAACTCTTCAAATAATTATAAATATATTCACAGCTTGGAAAGATAAGCGAGGGGCCTCAAAGGACAGTACACAAGATAGAATGATGCCCTAAATGACTTGATGAGATGGTGCAAGCTGAGATGACATGCTGGCTAGCCGTAAGATGACTATCTACAGTAAAGCGGTGGGGAGTGAGGGCGAGGGAGGTTGGAAATGTGGAGTATTGCACAGGGCTTGACAAAATGCTGCGTGGTCAACCCATTCAATATAGCATCCTTGTCCCCTGCATAGCTCTCCAGTTCTAAATTGGTCCGTAATAACTAGAACTGCTTGTGCTATGCATTCCTTCGGCAGTACAGTAGAAGGGAATGGCAGTATTATTACAATATCACTACGGAATAAATTGATTGCTATCCACTGAGAAAACTACATTTCTAAGCACACACGGCAGTCACAGTGATACACAGAGCAGTCTTTCAAGACTCTTATGGAATGACTAATAGCTTCCTAATAGTGCCATTTACTACATAATAACATTGAAAACATTTAAAAACTCCTCCTGAAACGAGCATCTAGTATACAGAAGAGGTTGCTTCAGTTTTCTAGAACTTGTTCTTTGTTTTCACTTTTTTTTTTTAAAGGACAAATTAAAACTTAAGTATAAATAGTATATAAAAGGTCACTAGCTGTTCTCTTTTGGCTTACTTTGAAGTGCATTTAGAACTATGGCTAAATTTTGTCATCTTCTGATGGGATTACAATACTGTCTGTTTACCATGAAACTATTTTGTATAATAAACTCACACGGCTGTGTCTAAAAAATATTCTGCATTCCTTCTAATCTGAGTTAGTATAATAAAATATTTTGTTACAAAGTCTAATGTGCAAACTCATTATAATGTGAAATTGTTGATGGAATTCACAGTATGCAAATTTTGTATAAAGGTGATAATGGAGAGCTACTCTTGTTTTCATGGCAGCATTTAGCTACTGCTGCGTTTTCCCCATCCCATCCCCCCTCCCTGCACAACCTCTGCAATGTTCTTACTTTGTGTGTTAGATGAAATCGTTGCCTCCTATGGAACTGCTTCCTCAACTTTCAATCTAAAGCCATTTCAGTCTGTTACATGTTGCTTTGGAATATATACAAAAAAATTCGATCCTGGCTTCTGGCTACATCTCCTTGAGGTCAGCCATGGAGCTGCTCAGATCATGCTAAGTTGCCTGTGAAAGAAGTCTACCCAATTGGATTTGCCCCTCCAAGATTCACTGTGGACGCATAGCATGTTATTAGGATGATCCAGTTGAAAGCTCAGATTTAAGTTGTCCTTTAAGATGTCAGTGTAACACTACTAGTGCCTTAAAAGTTGGAATTTTTTTTTCTGGAATGCAGACGATACAATAGTTACCCTATAATATATTATCAGCTCTCCTATATCTCAGTCAATTTACATAATTTAAAATAGAACATCTTATTAAAAACATCTAGATATACACAGATTAGGAAACGCTTACAACATACAAATACACAAACTAGAAATAAATTCTCAGCATACTGGTGTATATATACAACTGTGTGATACAATAAATAATTTCTGTCATGCTCTATCTACACATCATATTGCTTAAAAGAAGAGTAGATCTGGGGGGGGCAATGGTGAAATGAAGTGCCTTTAGAGGGCTCTCTACATTTAAATTTGTGCAAATTAAAATGGGAATTTAAAAGTACAACTGATCTGTGTCAGGAACACATGGCTGGAAATGAAAGGACCCATATTACTGAGGTATTTACAGATACTGGCTAAAGAGCACTATGTGGGCAAATGCAGAAAGGCTTCTTCTTCTTTTTCTTCTTCATAATTTAATTTAATTTAATTTATTTCTTGACTGCCAGCATGGCATCTACCTCCTCCTCGGGCTGTAAGGTGTGCCACTGTGCAATGGGCCGCCGAGGGTTGGCCAACATGTCTGACCAATGCCGCAGCTCCGCTCCGGTGCTGTTGTAGCCCACAAAGACTTTGCCGATGGCATCGTTCTTGCCAATCTTGTCATAGTCCAAAACAGTCACAACAATTTGCACTTTCTACAATGAGACAGAGAAAGACCAGTGAGCGTGACAGCAAGGGGAAGGTGGGCAGGGATAAGTATCTCCAGACAAACAATGAGAAAGGAGACTCCATATACACGAAGGGGGTAAGTGTGTGACAGCCAGAGCAGATTCCCCCAGTGAGAAGCAAATTCAAACTTTTCTCTTTGCTTCTTGCGAGCCTTCCAAATTAAATTAAGATCAACACCTCCCTGCTAACTTGAATTTGCCCCTTTTTATTGAGAGCTTCATGTGGGAATCGAGGTTGATTTTTTCCTTTTACTGATTAACAACCCATGGATTATTTTTTTGTTGTTATTGAAGAATCAGACTGCTAGAAGCCCGTAGGGCTGAAAGTAAGATCTTAAGGTAAGCTAAATCAAAAGTAGTGCAATTTGCAACAACAAACATCATCATTGTTTAAGTAAATATGTAAAATTAGGTAAAATTCAGAAATGGCTCTACCCCAAGTTAATGTTTGCAATGTTGTACGCTATTCTGTTAATTCCTTTTCTGCTTTTAAACAACTCTTACCATCCATGCAGCATGCTAATCAGTTATTTTCTGACACATTCAGAAGGTAGGCCTTACAGTTGCTATATACATATATTCAGGTGGACTCATCTGTGTCTGAGTGTGTGCACACAACTAAGTATGTATAAACTGTGTGCACTGTATAAATTTATATAAGAGTCAAGAAAACCGGCTGCATGCTCAGGGGAGCTGGAAAGAAGTATAAACCCCACTGTTTCAGGGCTGACACACCGGTGCTGCCTGTGACTGAGCCAGTGTTGGAGTGTCACTTCTGCTGTAGGAACAGTGACCTCTGGCAAAGAAGTTTCAACTATTCCCACTAAATCTGCACGAGCTCATCTGTCACAGCTCATAGACAATTTTCCATTCACTTAGACTGGGGCACGCTTGGAGGTGATGTTCAAGCCAGGCATTTGCGTATGTGTTTGTGTGCACATGCCTGCATTCCTTCCCATCAGGTCATTAATGTTTGTTGAAAGAGCACAAACAGCTATTCCCTTCAGTGGAGTGGTGTTCTTCCCCAACAGCACCTAAGATGTTAACAGCCTTGGGCTGATTTTACTAAACTGTAAACGCTTCTCCTCAGGGAGCTTTATTTTTAAAGATGAACATAGTTCCTGATTCCTTTCTATCCCATGATAAATACACACAACCCCTTATTCCAGTGCGAATTTCCTGAACTGGAGGAAGAAATGCGATGAAACACATTTCTTAGAGAAGGATCTTTTATTCTCAAGCATCAAGTTTTTAAATGTAAAGCTTTAAATATATGTACAATCTGCATTTCTTACTAGAATGATTAATTTCTGTGCTTGTAATAGGATTGTCTTTTACAAGTAACTGACAGTTTTAAGCAGATATGCAAGACCAGGCTCACGAGGTCTATTTTATAGAGTCCATTCCCATTCAAGATTGTACAATTCACTGAGCCAGAGAAAGAGATAATTTCAACAGGCACTAAAGTATTTATATAGTTGCCAATGACAAAAGTGTACATCAAATTCAAGACTCTCTCTCTCCAGAGCACTCACGATAAAAGGCAATATCCTGAAGCAAATATTTCTAGATGCCAAAATGATGTTTCAGTGTTGCTATTTGCAATATACGCACTCTTAATGTTGATGATACCTCCCTAAATGAACATTTATGTTTTAGATGCATGGTACAATCACAGATATAAAAAGTAAGCATGAGATTGTTACTTTACAGTACAAAAAAAAGTTGCCTGCTGTACCTAGAAGCTTGGGGGCTAGTTACTATTGTGTTTTTTTTCTTTTTTTGTGTCAATGTAGAACAAGAATGAGCACTGCAAACAAAAGACCCTTTTCTTTGTTCTATAAAGATGTAAGAACAGCTATCTGAAATGATTAACTCTGAGATGATTTTCACCTCATGGTCACTGGCTTAAACCTACAGAGAAATGTGAACATCTCTTTGCCTTTGTACCATATATTAAAGGAGCAGCTGCACTGCAAAACCCAACAGGTGCTAGCAGAAAGCACCACACCTGGATTAGCAGTTTCTTCATTGTGACTAGGCAGTCTTTAGACTGAAAGTGCCTGGAGACATTGCTTCCTATGGAAGCAATCAGTCTTGAAAACAGCAAAACACATGCTTGATCTGCCTGTAGCAACAAGATACGACTTCCAAGTGATGTCCTCCCATTACCTTTCAAGACATTACTTTCTTTCCCTTGAGAGCTGGAATCCATACTCACTATTAAATTGCTGAAAACGTTAATGTTTGGCCCATTTAAAATTACATAGGTGTGCTGCTATTGAGCTGCTTACCCTCCATGATCTCCCTTGTCTTCGCTCTCTAACCATCATGAAACTTGTAGAACCATTATTTTTTTAATTTGATTGTAAAAGTGTGCTTAGTGACTTTTATATTAATTACCCCAAAGTCACAGTGATTCTTACTATATTAGGTCTAAATAACATTTAAAATGTGCTTTGCTAATGATTAAATCACTTCAATAACTATAATGAAATCACCTCCGAATATAGTCTTTTATAACTAACCCAAAGCACATTATTGGCATATGACCAAAGTCCATAATTACAGATTTTAAATTGAGGCTATATACTGAAGTAAATAGCTATAAAGTCATTCTAATAAACGTATAAAAAATCACAAAATATTAAACTGCTAAACCGCAATACTTTTTAAAGGGCCTATATCCACCTTACAAAACTGATTTAGGATTAGAGGTCAAAATGGCCAAGTGCCAACAGAACGTACCTAACCATGGCAAAGCTCAGACTGGACGTGCCCATTCTGGTTCCCCAGTCCTGTCCCTATTTGGAAATCAAGACATTCATTGCCTAAATTGCCAGAGAGGCTCGATGTGTTTGTTGTGGGGCTTTTTTGCCTGTGGGTCTTTGATGCTTGTTATGAGATTTTTTGTAAGCACACAGACCAGCTTTCATTAAAATCAATGGGAATTAGGCCCCACTGGGTTTCCCACTTTTGGATTCCTAGGGTCCACGGACACCTGTACATGCTGTGGGGCATGAAGAAACTCCTAAACAGGCTAGTCATGCATCCAAGTCACTATTCCTAGTGCCTCACCTTGTCTAGTTTCATTATCTTTGTCGGTACCAAGTCAATAAAAACCAAGCACACAGCTTTAGCTGAAATGCAGGCCTTGGCTCCTGGGCTTCTCTCCAGTACAGTTCCTATCAAAATCCAAGACACAGAATCTCAAAACCGCCACCATGCTCTTGTCTAATCAAGAGGTCTGTGTGTGTCCCTGTTGCCTTGGAGTTTTCCCTGGCAACGTGTTCTCCCTCCAATTTTGGCCCAAGCTATGTAAATCCTCATAGCAGCAAGGCACCTAACTCCTACCTAGACCTCTGTTACAAGCCACAAAAGGATGTATTCCCAGACTGGGAGGCCCCTGAAAGTACACTTTCCACCCTCAGCTCCAACCAGAAAAGCTAGGGTCTTGCTTAACATCTCCATGGTCACCGAGCTTCGTGGGGAGGGTTGGAAGTCAAAGTGCAGTTCTTTTCTCTCCTGAGGATATTTAAACCACTACATCTTGCCCTGCCAATGAATACTCTAACAAGTGAGCAGAAGAACAAAACAGTTTAATACAGATGGGAAAGGCTGAACAGAAATGGAGGAGGCCTGTACCAACCGATCTTTATTACATTACCTAGCTCAGACCAGAGACCAAAGCCTGTCACTTTCCAAGCAAACCACCCAGCTATGAGGTGATCTTATTTTCCATGGCCAATCATATACTTATTATTTATGCAGAAATGATGTTGCACTCCCAACACAAGTCATAGGCACAGGAAACAAGGTACTTGTTTAAGACCTTGTAGATACAGGTTCAAATTCACTTAGGTAGGGGAGTGAATTGGATGTGGGTTTCCCACATGCCTCCTGAGATGGTTAAGAAGACCTTGTGAGAAAAGGTTAGTTAATATCAGAAGACATTAAATCTTACTCTCATGAATGAGAGATGATTTGCCTCCCAGTAGCCCAAAGGTAGGTGAGTCCCTGAAAAAAATGACCTGATGCCTTGCCCTGGTATTTTCCACTGCTAATGTAGGTGACTTCCAGCTCACTGTGCTGACTTCCGAGGTCCCTAATTTTAGGCACTGAACTCTCCAGGAGTAGCACATGGACAACTGCTGGAGCTACCCTGAGGTGCCAAGAAAACTGCAGTACTGACCCCTCACGTCTTTTTCCAAGGACCATAGGAATCACCAAAAAAAGTTTTCATGGTGTGGTCAATAACTGAAGAAACCTGACTGAATTATGTGTTTTGCTTAAGAGGGATGCTGCAGTACTCTGAACAAACAGGACTGATAAATGCACAGGGAACAAAAATGGGACTGATGACACCAATTTATTATTTCAAATAATTTGGGAAAAATTGCTATATATGCCTTTTCTTTTACCCCTATACTTCTTCTGCTGGCACATTCCTTCACTGTCTCCCTGTGGATTTTTTTTCAGAATCCATTTCTGTTAAGAGAAAATGTCAGTTATCCATTTCTCACTGATGAATCAAAGCTTCCTAAGTACTGTGCATTTTATCATTTCCCTCTTGAAGCAGTCACACTCATCTAATGTAGCACAGGGCTGGCACCTAGGTGCTAATGAAGGCATGCACACGTGATAATTAACAAGATTCTTGTTAAATATTTATAAGGGCTGAGAAATGGAATGCAGAGGGAAGACAAACCACTGTTCAACATTACCTGAATTTGCTCGAATGGTACTTCAAAGCTGAAAGACTCGTTGTAGTAGGGATTCAGAGTGTTCTTTTTAATTGTAGTCTTTTTCTTCTTCAGCCTCTTACCGTTCTGCATCAGATGGATCTTCACATAGGGATCTAAGTAAGCAAGAGAAGTAGAAGGATAGTTCTGTGTGTTCAATCCCACAAATTTAAGACTTGATAAAAAAAAGAAAAAACTTCATCAGCTTACAGCTTGTGTTTAAACAAAGTCCAAATTTCCATTACAGAAAAACTCTTCTATGATTGCAAAGTGTTCCTGATGGAAAAAGTTACAAAATACTTACTGCATTATCTCCTTAACACTGTGAGGGAGGGGTAAATTCCCACATAACTTTGTTCCGTAGCTCATTAACCATCCTAGAAACGTTTTTACTTTAACATTTTTTATTTACTGACAACATTTCTTGTCAACGGGGCTGCGGGGTGGTTTTCCCAAGAGCCATGAGCACATCCAAATGCACGCACGGTGAGCACAGGGCAAGTGTGGCTGGCTGCTCTGCGACTGCCCAGCAGCTCTTCACATCACTCCTGGGGCAGGAGCTGCACCGCGGTTTTCCCATCCTCTGACCTCCCCAGTGGCCTGTGACTGACACAGTCTGTGGGTCTTGCACACTGACATTGCATGGCACGAAGGGGGTTTGCCCTTTAAATGCCAGTCCTCTACCTTAGTGCTATATACAGCCAGATTAAGGTGTAGGCCATGCTAGTGGTATAAATTATGAATTGTTTTTGCTACTGTCTACTGAATTCCCATTGTTATTTTGTATGACTTCTGGTGGCTAAGGAACAGAACTGATTTGGTACCTAATCAGGTATTCCTTTTGCAAGCAAAACTCTCATGGATGTTACTGCTGTGAAGTGGCATTTCAGTGGTTATACTCTCAACGGAAATTTTGCCTGCTTAAAAGAATAGTGCTATCAGTTTTTTATCTGTTACAAGAGCCATGTTCCCGTTTAGAGAGTGAACTGGCACTTCTTCTTTCATGATGGTGTTAATTAGTGCTACCTTCACTGAACTTGGTTACTTTTCTGTTTAGGCCTACCATGAAGCACCATTTGAAGCATCTCAAGCCCATCTTTTTCCACAACCTGTACAGTACTGTCACCAAAATTTGCGTAAGTACTTCCCTTGGCTTTAGGCAGCCAAACCGTGATGTAGGTTGAGGCAAACTCGTAGGAGCTATATAAAGCACCAGCCAGCCACAAGTCATTTGTGGCATAGATTAAGAGAGCCTGAATGCAAGCTATCAAAGGAGAGGGCTTTTTCTTTCCCTCCTGAGAAAAAGGATAGGGCTACAGAAGAATGACAAATTAACACTGAAGTTAAATACTATCACTATGAGCAAGCCATGCTTTATGACTCTGCAATTAAATCCATGCTTGGAGTGTCTGAGAAGAGTAACTGTATTCTGCTACAGTCAAAATATGCTTTACCGTGGAAGACCTCGAAGTTTGGGACAGTTGAGTGACTTGATCACAGTACCTCTGAAGGGAGCATAATTTTGGTAGTAGACTCTTCAAGCCAGCAGACAAGGGTATAATAAGATCCAATGGCTGTGAGAAGAAACTAGACCAATTCTAACTTAGAAATAGGCATGTATTTTAGTAGTAAGACTACTGAAACAGCTGGAGTAGCTCCTCAGTGGTTTTGGTGAATTCTCTGTTACAGAGGGCTAAGATTCCTTCTTCAAAAGACTCAAGTTCAAATAGAAATTAAATCTGGGTAGGTTTATACTCAAAGCTGGACAGGGGATTGTAAGGGTTTCTTTTGGCTGCACAGTGTAGAAATTAAGGACTATCATGTGACGAGCAAAAATGCTAGCAAAAAAGCCAACAGAGTTCTATTTATTTTTGAACACTGAGTTTAACATCACTGCATACAGAGTTTTGAAGGTAGAAAACAGGTAAATTGGGACTCCTTCAACATTAGGTGATACTTGAGAAAAGCTCACCTACCTTATTACTTTTGCTGAGGCTCCACGCTGAATGCACAATTGTTTTGACATGCAAAATGACAGTTTAGGTATAGTTGATGTATAGTAAGAAAGTTCAGTAGTCAAGGAGCCAGTGGTAGAGTGTTAAGATATGGAAACGTGATAAGATGCTGCTAGAATAAAATTTGGGTAACTAGAGTGAGCTAGGAGGCTAAATGGTATGGTAATACGTTATTATTAAGGGGATTAGAACTGAAGGATTCTATTAAAATAAATGAAGTTGATATAAGTCAATCCTCTACTGACCTGTGCTTGTGCACAGACAGTATACACAGATCTAATGATTATTCATATGCCCATAAGGAACTGTATAGTAATAATTTATATAGCGATGCAGATATATTCCTATCTTGATAAACATTCCATATTTTGATGAAAAATGTTTTTAACCTAGAAATCAAGTGTATGTGAATGCTTGGGGTCTACATCTACATTCCCTTCAAGTCATTTGCTTCTATTGACTTTCTAGATTTTCTGTCTTCATGCTGGTATCAGAGCAAAATCTGACCCCAGGTAACTCATGGCCGTGTGACAAGGCCCAGAAGCTAGGTTTTTCTGGTTTCTTTTTCATGTCCTGATTAGCTTCTTATGTTTGTCTGTCTGTGGATTTGAGTTAGGCTCAGTCAAATGTCAGGTTTTTAGTAGGAAGGATCCCAGTGGTACCAGATTGCCATGGTAGCGCAGAACTGTCAGTGGCAGAGGTCCCAAATGGAGCACAGAAGAGGACATATCATACAATATAATAATTTTTTTTTTTCATCCAAGGGAAAAATTGTCATGCCAAACCAAATACAAATTGAATATTACCTAACTGAAATCATGTTCTTTCTTTTCTGGTTTCAGAGGAAAGTATTAAATAAATTTACTCACCACAAAACCACTGCAAATAAGAATGGGGTGTCCAGCTCAAGTAAGTGGATGGGCCATGAGAGATTTTAACTGTGTTTCTCCTCATTAGATTGTATATCCACTTCCTATTTCTTGAAGTACCCTGGTCTTACCTAGTTCTCCCCTCTCTTCATTCTTCTGTGTGTCATATATGAGCCCCTCCACCATCCATATCTTCAGTTACACTCTCCCATATCCCACTATGCTATCCACAACTCCCTTAACTCTCCAGTAATCTGTCTTGCTCAGAGACAACCTGATACCTAAGCACAGACTTCCTTGTGACTGCATGAATAAATCTCTGAAAAAGACAGATTCTGTTCCACCAAATAACAGAAGCTCAACTGCTTGGAGTCAATTATTAGAAGAAAGGAGGATAATCAAAAGAAAGCAGAACCTCTGGGAAGTGCCAGTCTCCAGTGATTTTTTTGAGATAAGGTTTAGTGCTAATGGAAACACCTCTTCTCTCTACTTGCAACATAACCGCAGTGCTGGCACCATCACTCATGCTGAGTAATACTTTAATATGTAAATAGTCTCACTGAACAAGTGAGACTAGTAAGGATGACAGAACTGATATTACAGCCCAGCAATGATAAATTGTCTGTTAAGTGCATAGTCTGGACATAAAGGGCAGAATTCTTTTGACCAAGTAGAAATGTCTACATCTGATGCCAATGAAAATAAATAAGCATGTCTCTATATGTATGCTGGATAGTTATCTCATTCTAGAGTAAATATCTGTCTTTGGTCAAATCAATTGCACCCCAAAATATTTATTTCTCTCCACTGATACATGATAGCCTATTTGCTTTCATGTAAACAGTTACACTGAAGAAATTTCAAGTTTGAAGAGGTTAACACAATTCTGTTTTTTCCTTCAGTTTTATTCCTTTCAGGTGAACAGGGATTTAGATCCACATTACATCCACAGGTATCTGTGGATGGACTTTCCCCACCTGCCTGGAAGAAGGGATGTTGCATCCAGAGCACTATGGATGTCCCTCTGCCAAAGGGGACAGAATGGCCGTGTGTCCCTTGCTTAATAATTCATGTTAAGCAATGTGTGGGATAAAATAAAATTACATAATAATGCTATTTAAATAAATAATAAATAATGCTATTTTTCCCCTCATTAACGGTCTAGCCATGACTGCTAAAAAGATGTAAAATTCATGACTAATTGTGCATTGTAGATTTTACAACAGTGTCTCAAGGGAGCCTAGCTGAACAGCTTTAAAAGCACTGGGAGAATGGCTGACACATTTTGTTTTCCTGAAGTCTGCAGTAAGATGACAATACATTATTTAAAGGATAACTGGAATGGTATGTAATAGCAGGTAAAGACTTCTGGAGTCATTTGGTCCGTGGGGCATATATATATACAATTAGAACCCTCTTAAAATAATGACTAGTTCATCATCGTCGTGTTGTAGACAAGATGCACTTCATTGTTAGAGGCTTTAAATAAGGACATTTACAGCTGGAAAAAAAATACTACAACTCAAAAGAAGATAATCGTGGCTAATAACACAATATCTGAGGAAAAAGTGGAACTTGAGAATGACTGCTTGTCAGTGGATTTTAAGATGAAAAATTTGTTACAGGGATCAGTAGCTAATGAAAAATAATTTTCCACCTAGGGAGGAGAGAATTCAGCACACAAATTTCCAACTGTACAGATCTTCAGCAGAAAAGTGTCAACACAGTACTCATCTTGGAATGGCTTTACTACAATAGTTTATTCTGAATGCAAACATAAGGATGGTGCTGATCTTTGATATATATTTGTAAGGCTTCTGTAATCTAATAAAATATGAAAAGCAAGTGCCTAGAAAGTTGACAAATTTGAAAAATTATACAGGCATAACACTGGACTTGACTGGGTGTGCAATTACAGTCCCAAGCCTGTGTGCGTGTGGGGGCCTAATGGTTTAAAGAAAAAAATCCCACACAGCTCTGTGTAGTGAGATCAGAGAAAACCCTCTACAAGCTTCGAGTAAGCCTAACATGATTAACAGGAAAAAAAAATTGAGCCAGACCAAACTAGTCATAGATATAGCTGAATAAAGTTTCATATGACAAAACACTGTAGTAAGAAGATGCTCTCAACTCAAATGTAGAAACATAGAAGAAATATGGTGCCAGAACTGCCTCCAGCTGTATTTTTGTCTACAAAATGTTCTGGACAACTGGGTGCTAATTAGTGCGTGT